TTCCACTTTGTCACTTTCTAGCACACTCGGTCTCGATTCCACCAGCTGAAAGAATCAGTAAATATTATTAGCCACATCAAATCTTTTTTCCCATCTAAACATTGCCAGGATCAAAAACAGTGTCTAAAGCAGACCTGGAGATTCTTATCCATGCATTTGTCTCCAGTAGGTTAGACTACTGCAATGGCCTGCTCACAGGTCTGTCCAAACAGGCTGTAAAACAGCTGCAGTACATTCAAAATGCAGCAGCTCAAGTCCTGACCAGAACCAGGAAGTACGATGGCAAGGCAAGTTTATTTGTCTAGCAAAATTAATACACAAGGCAACTCGAAGTGCTGAGCAAAATAAGAAAGCATTAAAATAAATAATCACAGTACATTAAAAAAGATAAATATAAAATCCCTCAGTTGTAGCACAGCTAAACAGAACCGTCTTTAACCTGGTTTTAAACCTTGTCAGAGAGGAGGCCTGTCTCACTTTAGCTGTGCTACAACTGAGGGATTTTATATTTATCTTTGTTAATGTACTGTGATTATTTAATGCTTTCTTTTGCTCAGCACTTTGAGTTTCCTTGTGTATGAATTGTGCTACACAAATAAACCTCCCTTGCCTTACTGTGCGATGCAGTTTAGTCTTACCCTTTTTCTTCTCGCTCGACTCTGAGCTGAACTCTTCGCCACATCCGCCCTCAATGAGTTTTCTGGCTTGGCATATTGATGGCTCCTGCGAACCGTCTCATAATAAGTCTTACAGGCCGCTAGAAAACAATCAAAAGAGTGATATGAATAAAAATCAAACGCAAGTCACAGTAACGTCACACAAGGAAGAAACAGTAAAACACTTACACACAATGTCGTCTTTATCAACATCGTGGAAATGTGGACTTGCAGATATTGTGTTAAGCAAATAGGAGGTCACCGTCTCATTACGAGGCTTGATTAGTCTGAAAACAAAGTGTAGTTATGATTGGTATCTATACATATCCATTACCGACACAAAACATGTGTAGGTAAACCAAATTCAATTTCCATGGATACATTAACAATACTTACATAACCTTTTTGAGAAAATGGATCCTTCAATGAAGAAAGTGTGATAATTCTAAGAGCATAGCTTTCTTTTTGTTTTCGGGAAGGCATTTGTCTAAGGAAAGAAAAACAGTCATGGTCAAGGGACTTCATGGTTACATAAAAAGGCTAAATTAATAGTATCTACAAGTACATATTTTCACGGGGACCTAACCAAGAGATAATCTACAGGAGAACATCTACCTAGGTCATTTATAAAAAGAGATGAGTACTATTTATCTTACAATGGGGAATCAATAACAGTGGTGAGAGAAACTGAATTGTTACGTGATTATTGTGAAAGGTCTTTCAAGTGATTTTCATTTTATTTTGAGTAAATATCCTTCCACTTGTAAGAAGGAACTTTTGAGTAATAACTGAGGGATACAACATACCCATGTGTGTCACTCATGTCACTGACGAGAAGGTCGACAAGTTGTCTTCGAGAGCGGTGACTTAGTGATCTCACAGAATTATAATCTTTAAGGATCTCTCGGTCACCAGGGTTTTCCTGCAGTTCCACCATCTACAAACACGTGAAAAATGTAAAATGACTATCTACAATTGTACCAAAAATCTTATGATACAAAATGCAGCAGTACCTCTTTAGCTGTGTCCTTCTCACACATGTCCTGATTGGATCTCCTTGTGACTGCCAGAGGATTCTCCTTCAGAATTACCTGTATATTTTACATAATACAACTGTATTTAAACAGGTTTTTTTCTGTATATTTACCAAAACCACCCCGTTATTAAAACTAGTTTTTACAGTGAAAAGTACATGTTTACTACGCTTTTTATACATAACCACCTAATTATTAAAACGATCTTTTTCAGCTAAATGTACAGGTTTACTATGCTTTTTATAAGTTACCACCTTGTTATTAAACAATCTTTTTCAGTACAGTTTACAAGTTTAATGTTTTGTATGTACTTTGACATTTCCCTGAAAAATATTGCACTTTCAACATTGCTTAACTAAAAGCTGCATTAAATGAGTCATTTCACAAAATAAATGAAAATGAAACTTTACTGTATATTCAGTGACAACACTACAGTGCCAAAAGTCAATACTAAGACCGTTTTAAACAAATGTCAAAATATTTCACTGTAAAACACTAATGTCAAATAAAATATTCTCAAATATGCTTATCTCCATCCAAAAATAATTAAAACATAAGAATTTTTTGGCTTGTATGATGCAATCTGATCCAAGCCATTACGCAAGCCATTTAGAATTTAAACTAAGTTGATTTTTTATGCAGATAAAAAGGAGGACCCATGTTGTGTGGCCGAATAATATAAGGGGCACTTGTATCGCGTACAACTCCTAAAGACTTCTCTCCCGCCCACTTCAGTCAATAGAAACTATAGAAATAAAAAAACAGCGTGACTAGCTCAGACTGGGGTCAAGCAGTTATTAATTTCCATTTTTTCCTTTTATTGATTGAAGTGAGCATGAGAGAAGTCTTTGAAGCGTTGTGTGTGGAAGTACTCCTCGTATTATTCCGCCTCACACATAAGTTATTTTTATTCCGCTTAGAAAATCAATATGTTTAAATTCTGTGTAACTACACTTCACGTCACTGAATTTAAAAATAGAATAAAAATGGCAGAGCTCGCTAGCTTCAAATGTCTCAGATGTGACACAAAGAGCAAAAGGTACACATCAGCTGGGCTAACCTAAGGTAAGATCATTTCAGTAAGGAAAAACTTAACTATTCCTTTAACAGAAAATACATGTGGGTTTAAGCTTAATTTAAGAGCTGAAGAACAAATTTGAAACATTGAACGTCACAACAATATAAAACTCCATCGCAGCCCACAAACCTTACTTATTTCAGTCCATATTCAGACATTACACCACTCATGATCTGAAAGTTCTTGAATCAAGGTAAGGACTCTGGGGTTCACATTAAGACGTTTGGTTTTGCTTTTCTCCACTTTGGTTCCCTTCTCTGGATTGATGGAGAAAAAAACACCTGAAATATATTTAAAAAAAAATTACATTTAAAATACAAATGTGCTGCAATACAAACTGCTTAGCTCTGCATCACAGTGGTGCAGACAGAGCTAAGCAGTCAAACACAGGTCATGGGTTAAAGGAATAGGCCACCGTGTTTACATACTGACATATGTTCTTACCTTAGACTAGTTGATATGTACCTGTCTGGTCTGTGTCCGTGCGCTCTGTCATGCAAACAGAGCACAAACGCAGCCTCTTCCACAGAGTGTATAGTAACAAATCAGCTCCCGTTAGAAGCTACCAAACTCTTCCACGTGTTCCCTATTTAAATAAAGTTACATGACGTGTTACACTACCAAGTACAGTAACACAGAAATGTAACATGTCCATTTTCTCAGTGGATAAAAAGGGGCACTATATTGTGAGGCGTAATAATACGAGGAGCACAATGAGCGCTACGTCCACGCACTAACTCCCAAGACTTCTCTCCCGCTCACGCTGCTATTGACGGAAGTGAGCGGGAGAGAAGTCTTGGGAGTTAGTGCATTGACGTAGTGCTCCTCGTATTATTACTATACTTGGTAGTGTAACACGTCACGTAACTGTATTTAAATAGGGAACACGTGGGGGAGTTTGGGAGCTTCTAACGGGAGCTGATTTGGAACTATACAGTCTGTGGAAGAGGTTGTGTTTGTGCTCAGTTTGCATGACAGAGCATATGTCAGTGTGTAAAAACGGTGGCCTATTCCTTAAAGTCCTAGCTGCTTACATGTTTCCTCCCACATTACAAAATGAACACATGTAGGATTCACTGAATACTTATGGAGGTCCTCTAACTACAGCCCATGTGTCTGAATCAAGTGTTGATCTTGTGGATCAACACTTGTGCTGCATTTTCTCCAGTTTGATTTTACCCAAATGTAATACCTTCTGGGGAAAAAAGAACAGCAACAAAAACTGAAAAAAGATACATGTTTCTATTATGTTGAGCTTTTGTGGATTTCTTTGTTGTGCTTTTATCCAACTTTAGATTTGGGTAAAACCAAACTGGAGAAAATGTAGTTTGATCAGGTGGGGGTTAAGAGGTTAATATACAAAAAGGCATATACCTCTGCAGAAACTCCAGAGTTGAGGCCAGTTGTATAAGCAATAATAACTCCCAAACATCATGGAAATGGCCGACACAAAGGAGCCAACGTTGTCCTGGACAATCATACGATCCACACTCAGCATAAACCGGTTTGCAGATTAACAGGATTCAGGATTGTCCTTCAAGGAGAAACAAAACGAGTTAAATACAAGTAAAATGACATTTCACCAGGCAGAGCATTAACTCCTTAGCATCAATATAGAAATGGGTTCAAAGAATTGACAAATTAAAGCAAATCATGTAGCGCAGGAGCCTTTTCCCTTTCTGATCAATACAAAACCGACAAGTAATCATCTTGGCAAACACATTCCCTTCAAACAATGCCTGTTTAGTGCAGATCTTAAACTAATCAAATGAATATCTTACCTGTATTCCAAACAGCCACAGAGCCTCTCCTCAGCACGTGCTCAAGTTGCGCTCTTCTGGTTAGCACGTTCGACTAAACACGTGCCAAACGTATGGTTCTGAAAATAACCGGATATCAGCTTAATTGTTTTATGAGATGTTTATGCCAGAATGGCAAGATTTTGTCTACGTGTGAAATGCAACACCGTAAATGCAGTCCAGTTTCATGTCACACAATGGTGAAATGCTCGATGCTAACTAGCGTTAGCTCTTCTAGCTAGCCACGGCTAAGCAGCACGATACTGAAACTAGCTGCCGGACAACGGACACATTTCAGAAAAACTAAATGTCCTTCTTCTGTTCTGTATCAAGATAAATTATCTTACCCGTGTTATCGGCTTCTCGAACGAATGCTTCTCTTCTTCACCAACGCACGCTCACGCTCTCTGTCCAGTGTTGTGTGAAAGTTGCACACGGCACTGATCCAGGGACTGACGTACACAGCGTTGACTCCGCATGTGTCTAAACTCTCACGATAGTTGATTATCGGAAAATAAAACGTCTTCTACAAATCAAGGAGTCCAGTCTGAAAATTATATACAGATTTATATTTTGCATGGAAAATTATTGTTGTTGCACGCGTAAATACACTATTAATTAATTACTCCCCTTCCCAAAGTTACAAAAGCTTTATTTGGTTAAAAGATTAAACAGATTATTTAAATGTATTTATTTTAGTCATTTAAACTCAGAAAAGAAACACAAGAAGCACTCTACACACATGGAGACATTTATAAAAAAAAAAAAAAAACGTTGTTCTTGTTGGTGTAAATGTAGTGATTAATAATAATGAACATTTTAATTGCAGTTTCAGTCTTCTTCTTCTTCACTATATCACACATTTACTCATACATTGAGTTTGTACCAATTTTTCGTGGAATGGGTTATGATTAATGACAAACAGGAGTAATGGTTAACTAATAAGTTAATTACTTGTAAACATTAGTTTCAAGTATTTTAATTTCTTTAGTAATAGACTCTTGATGTACATTTGACTGTATTTGCTTGTTTTTTGTTTTGCAGTTTTTCTGTGTTGAAACTACAAAGCAATGTTATAATTTTAACATACATTTTCTCTAAAAGTAACTATCTTGGATAGTAAAACTTCCAACTGAACATTACTGTTAATTAAACTGAGTTTGAGGGTTTTTCAACTTACAGTTTTTTTCAGTCACCATTTTACGGACATTTTCAGTACATTTCACTGACATTTTTTACAGTGTGTAAAGAGAGCATGGATCTAGAGAGTGATGATAACACCAACAGCCGTTTGTGTGTATGTTTATATATATATATATATATATATATATATATATATATATATATATATATGGTGCTACTTTGAACCGAGAATATAACACATATTTTCAGTTGATTACCTTTTCTTTTAGGTATGTACATAATTCAGTTTTGATGCCTTCAGTGTGAATCTACAATGTTCATAGTCATGAAAAAAAATAAAAAATCCTAACTTTTGGTCTGTACTGTACATACATATATCCTTTGATGAGCACTTACACTTTCACTGGAAAGTTGTGCTCCCCTCAACCCTGATTAGCATTTGTATAGCTCACAGCATTCCCATTTACATGTTAAAGCCTCCTGTGGAGGAGGGAGGAGGGGACAACAAACTACCGTCAACAGCCGAATCCCAGAAGTTTCACAGTAATATACAGGGCCGAAAAGAGACGAAAATCACACTTTTCATGCAGTGGACACTAAAACAATGACAAACACACTGGAGTGTTTGAAATATGAATGGCAGACGTACCTGGCTGAAGTTGTCCAGGGCCTTGTGCAGGTTGGCGTGCATGCCGGTGGGCGGCTCGTTGGTGATCTTGATGCAGTTCTGCAGGATGCCCTGGGGGATGATGTGGCCCTCAGGGGTGGAGGACGGCTCTGCGCTCACAAACACCCTGTAGTCCTGGTGGCTGCCCTCTGCCTGCTCCAGGAGCTTCTCCAGGGTTCCCAGCCAGCGGGCCACCAGATGGATGTTCTACAGCACAGTTCAGACCGCTTCAGCAAATGAAAACACTCTGTGGTCTACAGCAAACTGGCAACCACACTGGCAACCACACTGACAACCACACTGGCCACAACACTATCAATCACACTGACAACCACACTGGCATCCACACATCACAATTCAGACACAGATGGTACTAAACAACTTGATGACAGTATACTACAGTATAGGATTCATTTGAGTCAAATATCATTTACAACATGGACAGCTCAAAAACTGCATATCTTAAAGAAGCTATACCAATTTTTTTTCTAAGTAGTTCATGGAAATGCTTTTTACTACATGCAAGTTGTATCATAATACATAATTTAATTGAAAACTTGAGGTCATTGATTCAGCTGTGTATGAAATGTATGCCGTGAAAAGTGCTGAGTAGAGTCTGAGCGGCCGTTTGTTCTCCTCCACTCACAGAACGAGCAGCGAACAGCCTGCGTCCTCTAGCCTCTACAGCACTGCTAAACACTAGGGCTTCAACTTCAAAATTCAAATATAATTCTAAAAAAAAAAATATATATATATATATATATATATATATATATATATATATATATATATATATATATATATATATATATATATATATATATATATTCGACAAAATATTAGACAGCCCTTACAATTCGAAATGTATTTAATGACTGCAAATAAAATAGTTAGCTCCCAAAGGTTTCACCGGGACGTGCTAGGCAGCAGAGGTGGGACAAAGTCATTGTTTAGCAAGTCACAAGTCAGTCTCAATTCATTGCCCTCAAGTCCCGAGTCAAGTCACGAGTCAAGACAGGCAAGTCCCGAGTCGAGTCCAAGTCAAAGGCCAACAAATCTCAAGTCAGTCCCAAGTCCTACGGTTTGACTTTCGAGTCCTCTCGAGTCTTTTTGACCGCGATTTGTTTCTTGTTGGTCTCCACGTACTTTTGTAGGCAAACAAAATAATGTTAGGAATCATTTTGCTGGTGCATTCTCGTTGGTCTCTGACCCATGGACTAACAGTTTGTTCCATGTCGTTGGCTGCTGGTAAATCAAAACTATCTACGTGATCTAATTGGATGTTGTGCCAGATGCAGGCTCAGTTACACATGCACAGGCCACACATAAAATCAGAGCAGTCCGTGTCAACATACTTTTTATATTTGGGGTTTTTAATGGGAAGTAGCAAGTGCAGCAGTGCAGCATATATGAATATGAGTATTGGGCTAGGACCTGTATCTATATAATCAGTTTAATGTCCGTAGTGGTTATTGTTCCAAAGGACTGAAGGGACCAATGGAGGGGAAGGACCCCGGCCTGTATGAACTGGACCAGCATTAGTAATATCTCATAATTACCAATATATCATTACATAATAAAATGTCTCATATAAATTAATTCAATCAGTCAAAGCACTGATTCTCATATCAATGCACCATAAACAATAGTGCAAATATTAATCTAGCTTAGTGCACATAATCAAAACAACTATCTAATGTATGCAAACTTTAGCAGGAGGAGCACAGCAAAAACATACTCATAATAATAGGCCTCGGCGCCCACACAGAAAAATATAAGAAATAGCTAACAGAGCAGCGCAGGCTAGCGCTAGTTTGACTCACCAGTTCCTCTTTAAAACACGGCACAGAGTGTGACAACTGCGTCGATTCAAATTGTATGAGGCGCCTGTAGTGAAAGCATATCAATTACGGTTTGTAGAACAAAATATGACGTTAGGTCGCGATAAATACCTGCAGCTCGCTCATTTCCAGCTCCCCTAGACAACACACCCATCGGTGAATGCAGTGCGCTTGTTTAGGGAAGTGTTGCTGCGCGAACTGCGGGGAACTCACGTTCGAACTCTCTCGCGAGCGCTACAACTACCGCGAGGCTTTGTTTCTTCAGAGACGGCATAGATAGAAAGAGAGATGCGGAGAAAGGTAAAAATGGCCCGGGTTACGCAAGTCTTTACAAGTCAATTGGCGCAAGTCCAAGTGAAAGTCAGAGTCATTGATGTTAAAGTCCAAGTCGAGTTGCAAGTCTTTTTATATTTGGTCAAGTCGAGTCTAAAGTCATCAAAATCATGACTCGAGTCTGACTCGAGTCCAAGTCACATGACTCGAGTGATAACTTCCAGGTTTTTTGCGATTGCTTTTTGTCACATTAAAACAGTATTTTTGTCATGAAAACGTTGACAGCAAATTCTGAAATCGTCCGTGCATGTGTGTTAAGGATGTATATGTATGCTGTATTGTCATTTAATGGTGTTGATTGATTGATATGTATTTGTTTATCCTGGGCGGCACGGTGGCTGAGTGGATAGCACTCTCGCCTCTCAGCAAGAAGGTCCTGGGTTCGAATCCCGGTTGGAACAGGGCCTTTCTGAGTGGAGTTTGCATGTTCTCCCCGCGTCTGCGTAGGTTTCCTCCGGGTGCTACGGTTTCCCCTACCACTAAAAATATGTACAATAGGTCTGGCATGTGCCTCCTGTACTGGCACCCCCACTCCCAAAAAAATAACAATTGTAAACCGCTTTGAGACTCCGATGTGCAGTGAAAAGGCGGTATATAAATAAAGATTACAATACAATACGATTACAATCGAGCGTGGCTAGCTCCACTAGCTCCGCTAGCTTCTCTACACAGACAAGTGTGCAAAGAAACTGCACAGTGTAGTGACAGGTGCTGATTGCTTGTTGTACTTGCAAAGTAATGGCAGTATTTTACACACCAGAATTCGGGCATTCTGCTCTCCCAAAATTCCATCCGATGGGCGGGGGAGCGACTGAATTTTGCGTTGCATTATGGGTAACACTTGCCTTCGCAACTTCCGGTTCTCTCTGCCCGGCGCATTTTCTCTAAATGGTTGAGTGTTTTCGTCATTTTCTGTTGAATCCGGTTTTATCATGGGCTTCAAGTGTGACGCCGCTAATTGCATATCGCGCAAATCATCCGTACAATTCACATTCTTCCCTCTTAGCTGAACTTCATTCTCATTGTTACCATCTGTCACTCGCACACACAGCCGTTTTCGTTCACTCTGCTCGCTGTCATCTTCTTCTAAATCTTCATAAACACCATCCGCTCGTTGAACTAGCAACAACAATTCCTCCTTTCGTTTTCCCACACTGCAAATACCCTTTCGCTTCAACCTTTCACGCAATTCAGGCACTGTCAATCGTTTGTTGTTTTCGTGAGCCATATTCGCCATTGTATGAAATCAACCGGAAGTGAACTGGGCAACAAACGGTGTCATTTTTTGATCACAGCGCCGCTCAGTGGATGAAATTTTGGGAGAGCAGAACGCCCGAATTACAAACGGAGATTGCATTGGGGCTGTGGTCATTATTGTTAGAGTTCTGTTATCAAGAAAAAATGATCGGACGAATTGCATTCAAGTCAATGGAGTGCTGCTGCTGTGAGGAGCTGTATAATAAATTATAATTAAATATTAGAATATATTCTAATGTTTAAATTAATACATTCGGACGCGAAACTAGCGGTATTCTTTTACCTATATATTGCGTTAGCAGTGCGTTGCTTTAGTGCCATTTTGATTGTTGTACAGCTTACAAGAAGTTGCGCTAATGCTAATGTTAGCATACGTATCAGATCGCAAATAAAACTAGGTGGCTCCGTGTTATGAGAGCGTAGGGGAAATGAGAAGCCATTGAGAGAGTTGGGGCGGTGCTAAACATTCAAACATTGCAGAAACGGGTATAGCTCCTTTAAAGGATCGCTTTGACAAATGTATTGAGTGAAAATAGAATAATTAAACCATGTACGCAATGATTTTCAATTTGTTTAATTACTTTAGTGTGTGTTTATCATTTAGTCCTTTTGTTTTCCAAAAACAAATAATCACAGAATCAGAATATTTGTTGGATGATAATTCAGTACCTGTTAGCCTATGTCAGAGCAGCAACTCCCATATTTCCAGCCGTTTTGGATTATTTTCACTGATTTTGATTTGAGGACCCACAGAATAGTGAGTGCTAGGAATATGTCAAATCTAAAACCAGATCTTCTTTCTACTATTTTTGAATCTAGATCAACTTTCATCTTTAAAAAATAGTTTGTTTATAGCGTGTTGTGTGCACCTGTAATTCCGAGTGGAGTACAAGGAAGCGAGGTGTGAAGAATAACCAAACCATGCAGAAAAGTAACTGTAACACTATTTACTTTTACTTTAGTGACATCTGACACATCTGAACATTTGTCCATTCCATTAAACAGAAAAAAATAACACGTGAGAAAGTTATTTTGATTGCACAATGACATATTTTATGACACACACATAAACAAAGTGTTGCTTAAATATTTCAAGCAACACTTTTAAGCTCCACATTTAAATATAAAGAAACGATTATGACAAAGTATGTCGGAGAGAATGCCCATTCATCCATTAGCTGGCGCTATATTTTGGCTCAAACAAAGTGTACTTTGACTGAGAAATAAACTGTGAAATACACAATTGAGATAAGCACCGACTTTTTCCAATCTGTGTGAACCCTGCTGCCTGTAGCGCTGCAGCAAATGTATGGATATTTATTTAATCAGAGTGCCCCCTGTGGGCAGGAGGGGATTTGGACACTGTTGATCTCCAGAGCTGATGGCGTGATTGGGATTAGGCCTATTATCAGAGGAGAGCTTATTATTCTGACAATCAATTGACTCCTTCACTCTTTTAGTAAGAGTGTTATCGTAAAAACAGGATCATCAACAGTACATTAAAACACTGTCATTCAATCATAGTGTATTCAGCTAAAACAGACATTGGTTGGCTTTGTATTTCACCATCGGCTGTTGGTGTTGTGTTCTAATACAGCATGAAAACTTGTGGCTTTAATTCAAGTGAGGCCAGTAAAAACAGGTGCACTTAATAGTCCAGCAAGTACTGTAAGTAAAACCAGGAGAAGTGCTCTGTGTCAGCAGTCCATTTTTAGATTATATCTCCTCTAAATAGAGCCCATTTCTGTCTAATCGACTCTCAGTATAACGACAGCA